TTTTCTTGAAGTACTAAAAAGTTCGTCAAAAATTCTGAAAAAAATCTCAGAGCACTATGAGAAGAAAATACATAATTGTTATTTCTTGCTATTTTTCGGTAAAGTTAATAGAATTTGAGTAAAAAATTATTGAAACGAATAAAAACTAGTAAAAATTATTGAAATTTTGTAAATATTTCTGTAAATAGCTTAGAAAATAAAGGTCGGATAAAAATGTTTTCAAACAAAAGTTGTTTGCTTCTTTACGTAGAATAAAATTCCGTAATAAAAAATGTATATTTTTATTTAAAAAAGCAAAGTTGACCTCGACCTGACCTTGGCGGGGCCATGCAAGGTCAAACCAATGGTATCTTGTTATGTGCCCCGTCGATCTATACAGGGTGTTTTTTTTAACTTGAGACTGCTAAATATCTCGAAAAATAAGCATTGTACGATAAAAATGTCCCAAATAAACTCTCAATAGTTTCGAGGGCGCAATTCAATTCCACAAAAGTTATCTACCTCCCGCCCCCCCTGGAGATGGGGCGGGGGGTAACTTTGAAATCTTAAATGGGAACCCCTATTTTTTATTACAGATTCGGATTCTACATCTAAAAACACGTAACTTTTGTCTGAACTTTTTTTTTCTATTTCTGATAGGTGGCGTTGCATTCGGCGAAAATTGGGTAACCTTTGTTTTCTTCAAAGGGAATCCCCTATAATGACGCTACGTCGAAGAAAAGTAACTTTTGTCGGAAACATGTTTTTTCGAATTATCGTAAATATCTACGATAATTTTTTATCCGTTCTTAACTTTACCCAGGATTAACGATAAAAATTTAACACTAAATTTTGAAAGATCATGAGTGGACCATTTGGAAATGACCACTTTGAAATGACGAATAAAACCTCTTGAATTTTTAACATCATCATTTGTATAACATTTGTAAAGGTCAAAGCCATTGGAGATTGTAACTTTTATTTTCATTTTTTAGTTAAAACGGATAAAAAATTATCGTAGATATTTACGATAATTCGAAAAAACATGTTTCCGACAAAAGTTACTTTTCTTCGACGTAGCGTCATTATAGGGGATTCCCTTTGAAGAAAACAAAAGTTACCCAATTTTCGTCGAATGCAGCGCCATCTATCAAAAATAGAAAAAAAAGTTCAGACAAAAGTTACGTGTTTTTGGATGTAGAATCCGAATCTGTGATAAAAAGTAGAGGTTCCCATTTAAGATTTCAAAGTTACCCCCGCCCCATCTCCAGGGGGGGCGGTAGGTAGATAATTTTTGTGGGATTGAATTGCGCCCTCGAAACTATTGAGGGTTTATTTGGGACATTTTTGTCGTACAATGCTTATTTTTCGAGATATTTAGCAGTCTCAAGTTAAAAAAAACACCCTGTATAATTTTTGTCTGAAACATTTGTCTGCCGGTTTTAGTTTTCAAGATATTGTGTTGTATCATTTAAAATGGGACACCCTGTGTGTGTGTGTGTATATATTGTGATTCCATGTTAAATCAAATATTTAACGTATTGTATACATAAATTTTGTATATTTATTTATTGTTTCATATTATCGATTTTCCAAATTTTCCCTCCAAAATTACGCAGAACGCAGCGCGTGAAAGACGAGACTGATGAGAGATGATCTAGCTTTGCGATAAGATCGCCGCTAGTTCACTTCATGTGCTACGTCGTGCGGTCGATCATCAGTGGTGAGACAAGAACAGAGCGATTGGACGTCTGTCCTTTTTTAACTTACTATCATTGTATGGAAGTATACACTGCCAAAGTACACTTAATGGATGTAGTTAAGCGCATTTTGGTTAGATGATGTATTTAAAATGAGCTTAGCTCTGGCCGCTGAAATCAGCCCGGTGGCCATTCTCATGTTTTTCTCTGCTCCTACTCCTACTCCTTAGGGCTGCGTTCAGATTCCTTACCCGGGTGCACTCTAATACAAGAAGTGCTATAGTATATGTGACATATACTATAGTGTTTCTAGTAACAGAGTGCACCCGGGTAGGGAATCTGAACGCACCCTAGGATGCCGTCCCATTGAGCACGGATCGGAATGCCGGATCGGATTTCTTACTATAATGAGCGTTCCGTTCTCTAGTTCCGTTCCGTAAAAGTTTCCTCTATCAGTCCCATGTAGCAAAAACGGAACGGATTTCTAGTTATAAAATATATTTCACTCTTCAATTAAATATTTCAGAATATTCATGACAATGTTATCAGCAAGATAATTGCATAAATTATGTATATAATTAATTCTGTCGCGTCAAAATAACGAAATATTAACGAATTAATCATTTATTTGCGTCCGACGCGCCATTCCGTTCCGTTTTTGCTACATAGGACTGGTAGAGGAAACTTTTACGGAACGGAACTAGAGAACGGAACGCTCATTATAGTAAGAAATCCGATCCGGCGTTCCGATCCGTGCTCAATGGGACGGCATCCTTACTCCATCTATTGTAGATCGGGTCTATTAGACGATAGAACATAGGGTATTTGGAGTCCATGGATGTTTCCGATAATATCTCTCCGAGTCATTTCCTTAGAGCAGAAATAAGTTACAGACATCACCATCTACTATTATTATGTGATTCATGATCCAAAGCTACCTAATACTATCTCACGACTGTAAGCAGTGGGTTAGGTAGAACAATACCGTGACAAATACACGAGATAATTTTGTAAAATTGTATTATTGATTATAAAATCATCTGGTGTTGTTTTCTAATTAAATTTTATTTATTCTTAATTAAAGTTATATAACCATTAAAATATATATTATATTTTTCAAATATTATCCTAAAGTAAAAAGTTACACTGTTTTAATCTATTTGCAAGTATTGTTTTTACATGACTCGTGCATGTGTAAGTCCACAATAAATTATGCCATTAGGGTATATTGATGACAAAACAAAATATAATAGATTTGTTTGCACAGTTTGTTTTAAATTGTATGTAATTCTACAAACGTTTCAATATTACTATTTTTTTAACATTATTTGAGTTATTTCTTTTATACTTTAATACTCATTACAACTAAACATTTTTAGATAAAAAATGGATGTACTAGAAATATGGGAAATATTTTTTGATCACCCATCTGATGAAGATAATGAGGATAACTTCCAACCTCCACGGGAACATCATATAAAGATCCCACATTTTTTTGAAAACATTGTCATAGCATATTTATTGATAGGTAAAAGAATTTGAAATTTTGCTGTATTATAATAATTTATTGTTTTAAATTTATGTAAATGTTCTTGCATTATATGTTTTGATTACAATAAATTATATTAACATTATTAAAATAGATTTTAAATCTATCTTGTTTTGTCATCAATATACCCTAGTGGCATAATTTATTGTAGACCTGCACCTGCACGAGTCATATAAAAACAATACTTGCAAATAGGTTAAAATAGTGTGACTTTTATTTTAGGATAATATTTGAAAAACATAATATATATTTTAATGGTTATATAACTTTAATTAAGAATAAATAAAATTTTATTAGAAAACAACATCAGATGATTTTATAATCAATAATAGAATTTTACAAAATTATCTCGTATATTTGTCACGGTCGGGAGCGGTGCACTTGGACACGGTGCATTTGGACACAGCCAATCACAGCACCGTGTGATTAGAGACATTTGTAGGGTCCCTTGGAACAGCGACTTGTGATTGGACTGTGTCCAATTGCCTCGTGTCGAACTGATATACACACGTCACGGTATTGTTTTGCCTAATTCACTGCTTGCAATCGTGAGACAGCAATAGGTAGCTTTAGATTGTCATGAATTACATAATAGTAGTAGATGGTGATGTCTGTAACTTATTTCTGCTCTAGGAAAAATGACTCGGAGAGGTATTATCGGAAACACCCCATGTATACTATGTCCATGGTCGGAACGCAGTCGATAGTCCAATAAAGAACTCTTCTCGAAAAATAAATTCTCTGATTGACTCATCGGTTGCACTCCGACATATGATAATGACCTAAGACGTATTGTAAAACAGGCCTAAGACATGTTCTACAATATGTCATATGTTGCTATCGGACGTTGGAACGCAGTCGATGATCCAATAAGGAGATCTTGTCTCGAAAAACAAATCCTCTGATTGGGTGCGTTCAGCGAACTCAACAGTTACACTACAGTTGAGCAATTCGTCAATGTAATTGGTCTAGATTTAGGGAGATAACAGTAAGAACCAATAATCATTGGCTGCATTCAGCAGACTCAACAGTTGCACAACAGTTGAGTAATTTGTCAATGTAATTGGTCTAGATTTAGGGATCTAATAGCAAAAACCAATAATCGTTGATTGCTCACTGAGCGCTTTTTCTACTGAATGCGCCCATTGATTGCTTACTGAGTGCTTTTTCCGCTGAACGCGCCTATTGACCCATCAGCTGCTTGTAGAACAGGTTTTAGGCCGGTTCTACAATACGTCGTATGTCGCTGTCGTACGCCGGAGTGCAGCCGATGAACCAATCAGATGATTTGTTTTCCAGTATGAGTTCTCCTTATTGGACCATTGATTGCGTTCCGATGTCTGACAGCGCCATACGACGTATTGTAGAACAGGCAGTGTATATTTACACAGTGGATATTTCGGTTGATGTTTCCGAAGGGTGGGACCCGGGGCTCGATTCTCTAACTAGTTGCGTATACGTAAGTTTTACTGCGCAGCTATTTTATAGTATAATTAAATCTGCGCAGTAAAACTTACGTATACGCAACTAGTTAGAGAATCGAGCCCCCAATTGACCACGGTACGATTGGACACAGATTGTAATGATTGATTCGATCTGGTAATTCACTAAATAATTCTTTGCATTGGTTGGTTGTGTCCAATCGTACCATGGTCAATCGGGACGCTCCCGTTTCCGAACACATCTGTTATTTCGCGCCGGATCTAGTAACGTACTAGAAATGCAGAGGTTGTGTGGTGGATTTCTAGTAATTTATTAGCCGCATGCGATGCATGAAAATATAGTGTGCCGTTGACTTTAGTATACGTATATGTGTAACAAATAAAATAAAGATAGAATGACGCTTCTAGTATAAGAGTGAGCCGGACAAACGCATCTATCGACGAACTACTGTCACGCTATTGTTTTTAAGATTTATAGATTATACAGAGATAACAGATTGTCAAATCACGTTTTTTTGCGTTCACGTGTCATCAAAGTGTCATAAATAAATAAGTGAAGAATTTCATAGTGAGAATAAACATCGAATCTTGTTGACAATATAAATTAACTCCATTATACACAATTATATATTTGTGATGAATACATTGCGATAAAATATGAATATTCATATGTTTATGAATATGTTTATGTCTATTACTGCATATGTGCTCTATATTGTATTGTTAACAATATTAGGGTATACATGATATTGGGAAAATCAATTTTCACATGCTGGGCTCTAATACTGTGTGCACGTTATAACACTACAATATATTATAACAAGAAACTGGACATTATTTATTATATATGCAAGCCATTGCACAGTAATGTAGGTATTTTATTTAGTAGGTTATTACTATTTTTTTTTTGGAATTTCCATTCTTAATTACATATTTTCCAGGAATGTGATTGCAGATTTTAACAGGTGGAGAAGCAGAGATATCATATATTTTGTGAAGAATATAGCAGGTTAATGAGTAACAATTTAAACAATGGATTATGATTATACACCTTTCCACAGAGAGACAGATATTCATAATAGATGTTGTGGTGGAAAATTGTGGTGTATCAAAGCAAGTATTAAAGCATTAAAATAATTGTGTCATATTAGTAACAATCATGCTACTGACAGCTTTTAATATATCCTATTGCATCAACATATAATTCTAATATAATATATTTACAGGATATATGTGGAATTATATGTGCGGTATTAACATGGTTGCTAATCATCTATGCAGAGTTTGTAGTAATGGCAGTTATTCTTATCCCTACAATAAACACAATATATTCTAGCTTAAATATGGCTATCTTCCAGTCTCTAGCATTCCTAGCCTTTGCATCACACCTAAGAACCATGTTTACAGATCCGGTAATCAACAGAATATTCAAGTATTATTTATTGAGATACACACACACACACACGCTCGCACACACACACACACACACACATATATGTATTGGTTGTATGTCTGTCAAATATGTTTAATATTGGTTGATATATAGGGTGCAGTACCAAAGGGTAATGCAACAAAAGAGATGATACAACAAATGGGGTTTAGAGAAGGGCAAGTTATTTTTAAGTGTCCCAAATGTTGTTCTATTAAGCCTGACAGGGCACACCATTGCTCTGTTTGCCAAAGGTATTCTAACAGACTTTAATTTGCAATTGTGGAACAATCGAGATGTACCAATTACACAGTAGTTATAATTGGTTTCAGATGCATCAGAAAAATGGACCATCATTGCCCATGGGTTAACAATTGTGTGGGTGAAAATAATCAAAAATACTTTGTACTTTTTACTGTGAGTATTGCGTTACTGTGATGCCTGTTGATTGAAATTTAAACATTAAGATAAAAGAAGACAAAGATAAATATGTCCTATTATGCTATATTTCAGTTTTATATAGCAGGGATATCGCTACAGTCTCTATTTCTCTGTATACAACAATTTACCACATGTGTTAGACAAGAATGGAGAGAGTGTTCCACATTCAATCCGCCAGCCACGGTGGTGCTGTTGTTGTTCTTGTCATTTGAGGCACTTTTGTTTGCCATTTTTACTGCTGTGATGTTAGGCACACAACTGCAAGCTATTTGGAATGATGAAACTGTACGTATGTGAACGGTTGTTTTTCTTTGCTATGTGAAGGTTGAAATACATATTTATCAATATACGTTATATATATTACATACAGGGTATAGAGCAACTTAAGAAAGAGGAGGCCAGATGGGTTCGTAATAGCAGATGGAAATCGATTCAAGCAGTTTTCGGAAGATTTTCGATAGCTTGGTTCTCGCCTTTTACCTCACCTCCTAACGCAAAAACGAAACAAGAATCTTATCTATATTCTGTCTAAATTACATTTTGATACGCAACCATGACTCAGTGATAATTAATCTATGTAAATATGCTAATTCATTGTGATGTGTTATGTGCATATATGATGGAAGTAATTAATTTTATGATTCTATGAAGTTTTTCTGACGATTGTACAACGTGATTCTTAATTGCACGTCTATACTTTAAGAAGGTAAATGTACAAGGAAAAATAGGAAATAATATTGTATTATTATGTAGGATGTATAATTATTATTGATACTTGTTGAGTATAGAGAACGTAAACTGAATACAAAATTTCTTTACCATTTCGCAAACAACCATATAAAATTATGAGTTTTTAATTAAAGAAGTTTGGTGAATGATCATGCATGGTACGGTCGGTAAATGAGTTGTGATAGCGACGTCTATCGTCATGTGCTTGTATATTAAATCAAACTAAACGAAAAAACAAAATTAATTTATAACTACGTAGATTTTTAGATATTAATGATAGAAGATTGTACATATGATTATATGCAAAAAATGCACTAATCTTTTTTAATTGATAACTGAAAACTAGTCATTTGCAAAATGGTAGGAAACGTTTATTCAGTTTGAGCTATTAAAGCTAATAAATAATTTAATTACAAGCACACAACGGTAAACGTTGTCATTACAGCATATCTACTGATTATCGCGCGTGATTATTCATCAATGTTTTTTAATTAGTAATTCAAAATTTTACGCGGTTTGCAAAATATTAAAGGAATTTTGCATTTAATTTGATGAATTCCAGCTACGCACACAATAGGTATGCAAATAATTGTTAGATATCCTATATAAATTATATATATATATATATACACACTATATAAATTATATAATATATACTATATAAATTATCTACGCGTTCTATTTTGAGTTATAACAAATCTAAAAAATATGCTCTTCCGCTATAACGTTCATTATGATTATTTTGATGTAT